CCCTGTAGCAATTATCTCTGGCATTGCAAGTAAATTATTGTTTCATGCTGTTGACATTTAGCCAATTGATCCACTGTCGGCCGAAATGATGTGATAACTGCCGATTTCTATTGTGCGTATACTTGATGAAAACAAAATTGTCAGACAGATCAAGGATGCTGTGATTGAGTATATGCTGTCTAGTTTTTATTGTCTGATACATGGACACCCCTGCTTGGGATCAAGGCCAATGGGTGGCTTTTAAATCTTGTTGCAAATATTCGTATTCACTGGTGATGTTTTAAGTGAACAATTCCCTGATGATTTTGGCATGTGCACAATGTATTGCAGAATTTGATAGTAAAAAAAAAACCACTGTTAGCTGTTTTGTTGGAACTTTCATATAGACTTGCTGATAATTTGCCATGTACATTGTATTCCTATCAATAGTAATGCATGTTGTCACTATCATCAGTAATTTAACATTACTGCATATGGAGATAAGTCAAAGCCACCCCCAAGCAGTAGGTTTTCAAATTTGCCTGCAGCTCCGTCAAAAAATTTGTTTTGAAGGAATAAATGCTTCTCCAAGGGAATGGCTTGTATGCCACTTTCGGTCATTTCAGTTTATTGGAATTGTGAAGCCTTTATGCTGTCAACTATGAATGTGAAAAAAATCATTGTGATGAAACTGGCTGTACAATAAAATTAAAAGATGGTGAAGATCATCTGATATATTTTGGTGTCCACTTTTGACATAACAGGATAAAAACTTGGTAGAGTTTGTACCTACTTTTACATAGATGTATAAAATATTCAAATAGTGTCCATTACCAGAATAGTTGTGACTAAAAACTTTCCTAAATTTTCAAATTATGTGATTTATTAATACAGAAAAAAGTTTTGTCATACTGTGTATTTCATACCCTGCTCGCCATCCTCTCACAAATTTAAGTGAAAATATTTATAAATAATATCACATACAAAAATATAACAGTAAATATCCACAACTTGGCCAGAGAGTCTGTTAATACTTGCTCTTTTGTTGTGCTTTATATACCGAAACAGGTGTTGGGGGGGGGGACAAGAATACATCTTACTAAATCATTTTCCACTTGTCAACACATTTCAGATATCAGAAATGATGTTTTACCTAAAACATTTGTGACAATGAAAATAAATTCACGATGTATGCAAGCAAAAAAAAAGAGCAGCCAACTGAAAGGACAGTGTGCAAACACTGGTTTCTTTTCTGGTTTACACATCAAAACACACTGTGCAATTTCCATGCAGAGTAACAACAAGAATGTCCATGTAATTGTACATCACTGGATAATAGTAGTGATTCAGTATCTGGTAGCTAACACATCTCAATTTTACTGTTGCTTTAACTTATGATGAACATACAATGTATAGTTATATAATAAGTATTTTAAATAAATAGTTCAAATATTTCTATTTTCTTATTAATATTTCTTTTAAAAGTACAAAAAATATGCATGGCAAGACTTGCATTTCTACTACTACCGTACAAGTTTTCATATTCAACCGACAAATATAAACAAAAGTACATTTAATTTGCAGCTGGCACAAACACCATACATTGGGACATGCAATCTGATATGATTTTCAATGTGACACACTGGAGTTTCTTGAATTCAGCTTCATGTCCACTCCTCAAGAGTGGCATCTATTTTATTTTGTTAAACATTTTGGCTCTTCACATGTGTTTAAAAATGTTTTTTGTTCCATCAAATGAATATACGGGAGAGCAAAATGAATGTTGCGTACTATTTTCACACCATAAAGTTTTTGACTTATTACCATGTGTTTATTCATTTTGGCTCAATAGATCTTCATACAGTTCTTTGGGTTCGACATTTGTAACAAGAATCCCTTTTTTTATTGGCACCAATCACATTAAAGGAACCACACTGTGCACACTTCCAGGATTTCTCTGCTGCATTTTCACATCGCAGCACTGGTACATAGTTGATTCTAGCCCCTGGAGGGTGTGCTCCATCAGCACTAACAAGTTGAATGTCACCTACGATTGCACTGCTTCCATGTGCATTGTTAGTAGACTGTGTATCATAGATTTTGATGAAACTGTGACCACGAGGACGTTTGTAGCACCGGCGAGCACTGACATTGTTTCGGGCACACCCAAGACAAAAGGCTCGTGAGCAAGTTCTGCATCTGAATCCAATCTGTGCAGAGTTTGAACAGTTCAATACAGAACACCTAACTGGACTAGTATCAAGAGTACTTGATCTGTAATAGGAAAATAACAAAAAATACTTTTATTAATCGGTAACATTGCTACATGTACACAAAGACAATCGGCGTACGCCGCGGCCTCTTTTACAGCAAGCCTACACAGAGAGTAGAAATTGAAAGTAGGAATTGAAAATAGCACTTTTTACCAAAAAAATTACAAAAATATTCATCTAAATTAAGAGATTTGAAGATATCATGAAATCTAACTATCTGAGAGTAGTCCACCCAAGTATCCAAGCAACGAAATTTGTCGTTTTCAAAACGAAATAAAAAATGTAAGGTTGATGACAGTATCATGAACAGCTCTGCTCTGTCGACAAAAGTAGGCACATGTTCAGTTGAATTTGGGCATTTGTCTGTAAATGCATATCAGTATTTTAGCAGTGGAGGAACAATATTTGCCCTCCTAACAGGAGTACGCTCTCATGAATGTACGGTGGGTTATGTGTGATGAAAATTCTATGCCATGTACATGCCAATCAAATGCATTTCTAACCAATGGCATTTCAGAATGCAGCGAATGTTTTGATTGTGTAAAAATAAATAAGAGAGCTTTTCATCATATTAAAAAATGGCAATAAGCAAAGACACTCACAAAAACAGTACTAGTATTTCAAGAAATGTATTAAGTTTTTTGTGTGAATTTCTTTTCATCTCACAATTCTCAAGACTTTTTCAATTCGCGTGAGATCTTGATCGCATTTCCCACTACTGTCATACTGTTTAATATCTTGTGTGCAATCATATTTGGGCTGTATATATAAATTAGGATGAATATCTTCCCTACAAACAATGCAAGTGGATTTTGCAGACTATTCTGTTTTAGGCATTAAAAAAGAAAAATAGCGCTACCTTGATGGTGATCCACATGGACTTCTATTTGGTGAATGTGCTAGTGGATTTATCTCCCATGGATCTCTTAAATGAGTCACATGTCTGGAAACTGAAATATGATCATAATAAAAATATACCATTTAAATTGCATTGAACCGTGTAAAATTCATATGTAGTAGATAATATTTGACAATGGTTGTTCTAAGTAATTCAAAATAGCTAGAAAATTCCAGTATTGTAAGATGACAGACGGAAACAACTTTTCCGTTAGAAGACTGATATTTCTATTTTTCATGAAATTCACCATAATTATCAATATGATGCAGTTACATTTTCCTCTCTCAGAATTCTAAAAATGCACTATGCTACGTTAGATTTATCTGTGGCAGCAAAGACTAGAGACTTTTTTCTATTACCGTAAAATCTGTATTAGAAGCCGCAACCAAAAATTCACCATTTCTCATATGTGTAGATGCTCTAATAGAAGCCGCATCCCTTCCATTGCATTGTGCCATTTTAATAGAAGCCGCGGTTTCTAATACAGATTTTACAGTAGTTGCACATGCAATTAACATATTGACTGATGATTTTGGTATGTGTTTGGAGCTTTCAGTGTTAGTAAAATGACAGGTGTGTCTTCAGATATAACAAGTAAGATTTTAGTAATCCAGTATGAGCGTACACACAGACATTATTCAAAATCAAAGTTAAACTCTGCAAAGCTCCTTTGTAAATACAAAACATGCAATCATTGTTGTTTTATAAAAACATATATATATATGAGTAATTCTTTTGCTGACCATGCATTGTTATTGTATATTTTTTTTCTATATTAATTTTGATTATATATATATTTTTTCTATATTAATGCATTGTTATATTTTTGTTGTTTTATATATATATTAATTTGATGTTATAGATTTGTTTC